TTTAAATAATCACTTTATTTTTTTATCATGCCTCATACTTACCTTCTCTGGGCATCAGTTTCTTTGTCTGTAAAACAGGGATAATGATAGAACCATCTCATGAGGTTGAGAGGATAAAATGAGTTGATATATCCAGAGAACCAGGCCTGGCACTCACTTGGTGCTATGTCTTCCTGCCTTCATGTCCCTCAGTGGCCATTGCTACTGTCTTCCACCTCACCATATAACACATATGGGGCACTGATCTGTCTCATGGTTTGAGCTATTTGGGGACCAGAGAAGGTGCAGAATCTTATAGTGGCACTGGTCTAGCAATCACCAGACAGGTCTCACCTGTTTGCAAGGGACTGCCTTGGAAATCAATTGGCTGTTTGGCTTGTGTTCTGCACCAGGGAAGTTGAGGGAGAGAGAGAGGGGATTTAGACTGGTTTATGTGACCAGAGGCTCAATAGTCCCACAGTTACCATTGCATGCTGGAGAGCCAGAGAAGCCAATAGCTGCTCAGACTGAAAAGCTGGAAACTTTAGGACAAATGATCAATGATGCAGCCCTGATCTGAGGTTGAAGACCTGAAAGCCCTTAGACAGTTACTAATCCAAGTCTGCCTTCAAAAGTTGAAAAATCCAAAATCTGACATCTATGGGTGACAACAACAGCAAAAAGTACACCCACTAAAGAAGGGTCAGTGTGTGTGGAATTTAACTTCTATCTTCTTCCCCTTTTATAGTCCTTCTTAGCCCCAGCTTATAGGAGATGGTGCCGCTCTTATTCAGCATGTGTCTTCTCCACTCACTTTTCTGACCACCTGCCAATTCTCTGGAACACACCCAGAAGTGATCTAGGCACCTCTAGGTCAAGTTAACAGCAAAGATTAACCGTCACACTAACCAAGTGGTACAAGCCACCTTCCTGAACCTAGCAAGAAGATCTGGGCCAGAGACAGCCCTATCCTTATCTGGCACCCAAGGGAGGAGATGAAGAATGATACAGAGACACACAACTAAAGTCCAGAAGTGCCCATTGCACAGTACCCTACAACTGCTCAAAACATGTGTTGAATGAAGACATGATTCATGAAGACACGATTCCATGATTGCTACAAGTCTCTGTGCATGTTCTCCTATCTTCTTGCTTTGGACCTTGTGTCTCCCTTGTAAAAACATTTAACTTGTTTTCACTAATCCTGGAGGGCAATGATTGGTCCAAGTGGACAGTGAGCAAAGCCAGCAGCAGAATGCGGTGGGTGTGGAGACAGGAGCTTGAGTGAGTATGGAGGATGGGGCTGGGGCCAGCAAGGTATCTATTTGCTTGGAGGACTGCTCAGACTCTAAGTATATTTCCTGAGGGCATCCCTAGGAAAAGTACCATTTCCAGCCTCAGCACACTCATCTACTTTTCTTCACCATATACTGCTGCTGTCTGTACTGACTCAGTTCCGTGTAACTGGAGCTCATCCAAAGTAGAAAGGGAAGCCAGATAGCAGATAGACGGTCCCCTGTGCCTGCCTCCTCAGGCTGAGGAAGTGCTGAGCCAAGCAAAACCCCTGAGAGAAGGAAGCTCCAGTCCTGCTTTTGTTTTCTCATTCTTCGTTGTGGCTTCTTTGGAAGGAGTAGAAATGAGTGGGGAGAAAAGGGACATGAAGGTGGGTAAGAATATGAAAAGGCCTTCTTCCATGTCCCTGGTCCCAAAGGACACAGCTTGATTTAAAGAAAGTGTGTGTGCCTCATCATTGGAAGGAAAGGCTGTAATCCCCAGAATCCCAGAGTGCTCATGCCCACATATGTTACCAGCACAAATGCAGAGAAAGCAGGAAAAGCCCTTCTTTGCAAGGTCACAAATATGGATAGATGTTTTCAGGCAGTAGCTGGCACACAGGAAGTAATTCCTTTGTAAGTGTTTGTATAAAAACTTAAATCAACCTTTATGAGAAGGAAAACAGAGATTTTGCTATACAGGTATATCCTTTTTTTTTTAGTCCCTCTGACTAATTATTTGTTGACGTCTAGCCCATAGTTTCAATCAACCAAAGGAGATTTTCAAAGACTTGGTATGTTATTGGCAAAATACCCTTCAAATGGGGGAAGAACATTCCCCAGACCTGTAGGAGCCTGTTGGAGGGAAGCTGAGAGCTCTGCTCTGCAGCTCTTGCCCCATGAGTGCCAATCGCCTGCTAAATCTGAGAGATCGGGCCCATGCTGTTCTCCACAGCCTCCTGTATTTTTGTCTCACCCTTCCTGCTCAGCCCCAGCCAGCTCAGCATCAAAACTTCAGTTTGTGTGTCCCTGTTTGGTGAGCCCAGGCCCTCCCTGTTTCTTCTGTGTCTGTGGATTGTGGGGGAAACTGCAGTGAGAATCTAAGCCAAGATTCCAGAACATTTCGACACCTGGATTAGGACCAAGTCATGGCCCAAGGTGGGGTTGCAAACTGTTGTACTGTGCTATGACCCATAGTTCATGTGAAGCACTTGCAGAGGAAACTCAACTCCAATGGGTCAGGCTCACTTGTAATTGTGACCCCCAATAGTGGCAGCGGGGGGCTTCCTTTCAAGCCCACCTGAGCCAAGGGTGAGTGGGTGCTTTACTTCTGGGCAGCAGCATTTCTCCACCCTGCCTTCAGAGGGGTCTGAGAATCTTAGAGAGGCTGGGTGGGGTTCAGCATCAGACTGCAGTCTTAGCCAACAAGGCTACCTCCAGCACCCCAGGTCCATAGAGGAACCTGTACCCCCACTGCCATTTCCCCTGAGATCCTGAAGATCCAGCTGAGATCAAAGCTAGGCCCCAGAGTTGGGGTGTGGGCAGGATTCTCGAGGTTTTGGGTGGAGGCAGAAGAAATGCTTGTCTCAATTCTTCCCTGAGGCTAGGGCTTTGTGAAGAGCTGTCTGGGGCTGGCACATTGCTCCATCTGCCCTTCCCCATTCCTTGAATCTGGCTCCAGGCTCCTAATGGGACTGCCAACCATGGCCCAGTGAATAGGTTGACTCATGCCTCAAATATGGCTCCCCACATTTTGTGCTGAACATGCATGGGATAGAAAAGCTGCAAAGATGAAGACACTTACTGTTTTCTTACCTAAGTGGGGCTTGAAGACTACCAGTAGGCTGGGATGGTAGGGAGAATGGAGGGAAAGCCAAAGAATTAAGAGTCATGACCACTGTCATCAGGGGATTCCCAGTTTGAAAGGGACAAATAGTTTTTTCTGTAGACATGGATCCAGACACAGAGCAGATGAGACTTGGAATAAGGCTGGGCATAGAGCTCGCATGAAGACCAGGGGAGGGAGAAGGGTAGATGACCCATGTGAATGTGTCTTATTTATTGTCTTCTACTACATGCATCTTATAGCAAAGACCCACAGGTCAAGGAGAGGGACCTGGCCCGGTCGTGGAAGACTACCTACTTCTCACCCATGAGCTGATACTTCTCCATGCCTGATGTCTTGAGAAGGTACCCTGTGTATAGAACACTACCCACAGCCCCCATTCCATGCACTCCTCTGAGAGGGGGGTCAGAGGAGCGCCCTTGTGCCCTCCTTCACTGATGGGGAGATCTGCAGGGAAGGCATTAGAGAGAACCCTCAGCCTGAACTTGCTGGGTGAAAGAAAAATAGTGCCTAGAGAAGCTAAGCAAGTATCTGACCAAGTATTGGGAACTCTCTCTGGGGTGCTCAGAAGCAGAGTTGGGGACTCACTATAATCCCTCCCTTCCAGCCATAATGAGCTCCAGGCTAGGGTGGGACCCCCATTATAGAGGAATTGGTGCCTGGCTTCCCACGGGACTCCATTCCTTACACCTGCCCAGGTCTAGCATGGTGGGAAGGACTGCCCTGCCCACTGGGGAGATTTCCACAAAGTTGAAGGGACAGAGTGCTGCTTCTTTCTGAGTGAGGCACATAATACTCCCTGCTGCAGTTACTTGCCACCCACACACCTCTGCCCCTGGCCCCTGAATCTGACATTGGCACATGGTAGTGATTCTCAAACTGGACAGAATGCATTCCTGTCCTACCAAGTCCTCCTTTATAGCACAGCCATGAGAAGAACAAATGGGGAGAAGAGAATGCCCCAGTGTCTCAGGAGGGATGGGCCTGCCCAAGGGCAGTGGGGACTGGACCCAGGACCTGTCTGAGAGTGGCAGGACATATCCTGAGAGTGCTGTTCCAGGGAAGAGGGACGGCTCCTGCTAGGGGGCTCCAGACAGTTGCTTCTAGCTTGGACCTGACTTTTCTTGGCTTAGACCCCCCAGAATGTCCCAGGATGTTCACACCTCTTCCGCAAGTGTGAAATCGGTGAACTTATTAAAAGTCTTCTCTGAGAGTCTCAGAAACTCTCCAGGTAGGGAGGTGAGCCAAACCTCACTGTCCAAGACCTGTAGAGCCAGCTCTGGCCATTGTCTGCCTGCTGGGATTATCTGTCAGATGCTTTCTCATGACAGCCCTCTGGTGAGCAATCACCATCCCTGCTGATCCCCAGCACCAAGTGTCATTTTCCCACAGCCTTGGCTTCCTTGTGGCCAACCACATGACCTGTCCAGAGACTTCTGAGCTGGGGCTGGGTCCTGACTCCTTCGCTCTTGAAAACATGGGCTCCAACCTTGGGGCTTTGAACTTGTTCCCACTGTACTCCCACCTCCCACTCCAGCCAAAGTGTGGCTCAGCTCCTACTAGTCTCAGTCCTACCAAGCCTGAAGGTCCTGCTTTTGTCTCTGGGGGAAGCAGAGAGGTGATCTTCACTCAAGTCTGCAGCAAGAAAGAGAAGGTGTGTTTTAGGACCAGCACTCTAACCATAATTCCCTTCTTTCTTATGGCACCACAATTGAGACAACCTTGTCCAGGGGGATCTGGCAACTGGCTAATTGCTATGCCAGCTGCCGGATCCTCCCTCACTTTGGCTGGTCTGTCTGGCAGGACAATCCCCTGACCTAGAATTTCTTTTTCTATTCTGTTGGCCCTGAAGGAGGCCTTGGGCTGGAGCTCTGAGAAAGTGCAAATATTCCCGCTGCTCAGAACAGGATGGTTTGCCGTTGTAACAGGCCAGAGGATTCTCAACATGTTCCTGATGAGATTAGAAGCTCCTGCAGGTATGTGTTTGTGGCGGCCTTCAGCCTGTATCAACAGATACGATGACTCACTCCTTCCCTGGTGGAATAACTGAGAGCTGGCTGGAACACACGGCGTCGGGGGGGGGGGCAGCAGAACAGTTCCCCCTGAAGAAAGACTGACTGCGGACTGCCAGCCCAGGGCCAAAATGTTTTTTAAGGAACTACATGGGATCCCTGGGGCTGCTAAACCTCTGCAGGGTCCTATCCCGGCCAAAGAGCAAGGAAAAGGTCAATGGCACACAGAATTCAGAGTTAGGAAGGGCTGTGGAGGCACAGGCTTGGCCATGAAGAGGGTAAAGTGGTTTATAGCAGGCAGAGAGATCCTGCATTTTGTTTCTGGAGCTTAGCAATTCATGGAGACTTTCTGGCCTGAGCCTTGCAGGCAAATCTGCCCAATGTGGCTCCTCTAAGAAAGAACTAATGCTTGAAAGGAACAGATCCCATTTCTCTTTCTGGCTCCTACTGACAGCATAAGGCCACAGATTAACTTTCTAAGAGCTAAAGGCCCTGCAGGAATCTCCTGCCTGGCAAAATATAAGAGGAAATTATTGCCAGTGGGGACTTGCTTTGTCCCCCACTGGTGGACAGTGTCTCCTAAGTTGGCAGGGCAGCAGATACCATGCCGGGATGGCAACATTGTCCCTGGTCCTGCAAGAATCCCTAGGACAGCGGCCATGGGCAAATTCCCCTTTATTTTCTGGCATCTTCTTGGGCTGCTCACAAACCCCCAGACTCCATGGTGGAGATTCACTGTCAGTGTCGCTGAGATGCTGCCAAGGGTTCAGGGCTGCGAGGCAAGGTTATTTCTAACTGAGCAGAGCCTGCCAGGAAGAAAGCATTTGCACCTGCGCACTGTGCAGGTGTGAAGGTGAGCTCACAGCTGCCCCCCAGGCATGCCCAGCCCACTTAATCTTTCACAGCCAGACAGCTCTCCTGCCCAGCCCACTTCTGAGGGGATAAAAGGGGGACTGCCATTCCAGGGTAACAGAGCCACCCGCCGCGTCCTGCTGAGCTCTGTTCTCTCCAGCACCGTCCAGTCCACCAGTGCCCTGCACTCTTGCTCCACCAGGAACAACCACCATGTCTCGCCAGTCCAGTGTGTCCTTCCGCAGCGGGGGCAGCCGCTCCTTCAGCGCAGCCTCTGCCATCACCCCGTCTGTCTCTCGCACCAGTTTCAGCTCCGTGTCCCGGTCCGGGGGTGGCGGTGGTGGCAGGGTCAGCCTTGGGGGTGCTTGTGGAGTGGGTGGCTATGGCAGCAGGAGCCTCTACAATTTGGGGGGCACCAAACGGATCTCCATCAGTGCTAGCCGCGGAAACTTCAGGGACAGATTTGGTGCCAGTGCTGGAAGCGGCTTCGGCTTTGGAGGTGGAGTCGGCAGTGGACTCGGTTATGGCGGTGGAGCTGGCGGTGGTTTTGGGCTCGGTGGTGGAGCTGGCTTTGGAGGTGGCTATGGGGGCGCTGCCTTCCCCGTGTGTCCCCCGGGCGGCATCCAAGAGGTCACCATCAACCAGAGTCTCCTCACTCCTCTGAACCTGCAAATCGACCCCACCATCCAGCGAGTGAGGACTGAGGAGCGGGAGCAGATCAAGACCCTCAACAACAAGTTCGCCTCCTTCATCGACAAGGTGAGGTGTGGTCTTTTGTAAAAATCCACTGGGAATCTGGAGCAGATGCTGAAAACAGAGGAAAGAAAGAAGGCTTTTCAGGCTGGGCCACTTTCGAGTTTGGAGCCATTTCCATTTATTTCTGTGTGCAGCGTTAGAGGCCTTCTTTCTCACTTAGACTGACAGCACGGAAGGCAGGGTCTTACTTCTTCCCATTCAGAGGTTGCCTTGTAAAGGTTTCTTGGTTCTGGGTGGGCAGACAGGTGAGCTCTGTGCACTATGTAACAGGGTGGATTGCATGAGAAGACAGATGTGTTTATCAGAGGGCAGTTGGAGATCATTCACAGGCCCCACTGTAGTGGACCATGCTCTGGGTGGCCATTCCTGGTCTGGCTGTGCCCTGGATGAGGATCTTGTCTCCCCAAGAAGACTGAGGTTGGGCACCTTGCTCCAGATCTCTCCTTTAGGGCTCAGGAGGGTACTGCACACAGGAAAGGGTGTGTGTGTGTGTGTGTGTGTGTGTGTGTGTGTGTAGGGGCAGCATAAAATGGGAGACACAATGGCGAACTGGTCATTGAAACATGAAGTCCTAACTTCTCTGTCTTCACACTGTGCTCTTGTCCAGGTGCGGTTCCTAGAACAGCAGAACAAGGTCCTGGACACCAAGTGGGCCCTGCTCCAGGAGCAGGGCACCAGGACAGTCAAGCAGAGCCTGGATCCTTTGTTTGAGCAGTACATCAACAACCTCAGGAGGCAGCTGGACTCCATCCTTGGGGAGAGAGGCCGCCTGGACTCAGAGCTGAGGAACATGCAGGACCTGGTAGAGGACTTCAAGAATAAGTGAGTTAAGGGGCAGGTGGAGACAGGGAAACGGATGTTTTCTTTGGAGCAGATAAACTTCCTAACCTGACTGTCACTTATGCTTTTCCCGTGGGTTAGAAGCATAACTTCTCTGGACATCTATAGTATTTTTTTTAAAAAAAGAAAAAAACCTCTGGCTCCATGTTTAAAAAATTCTAGCTCATAGTTCCTCTGCAAGGTACTTAGCTAACATCCAACCCTGCACTCTTGGTACTGTCTCAGTGAAATGTGCCATCTTGTAATCCTTGCTCTCTGGAACTTTTCCCCCTCCTCTGTGCACTTAATATATACAGCTTTTGCTGGCTTCCCCTCAAAGCAGGAACTGATGATGTAACCCAGCTTGGTGGCTCCAGAAATTTTTCAGTCATGTGAATTATCTAGTGAACTGCTAGCTTTCCATTTTGTTTCTTTTCTAAATAAGGCTCCAACACTGAGAAAAGCACTAGAGAGATTGGTTATATCTGGAGCTAGGGAGAAACAGCACACCTTTGCTACAGAAACATCTTGAAGGAACTGAATTATAGTAACAATAAAATGAGTATGTGATAGGCAGTTACAAGGAAGGCAGCATACTGGGTGAGGATCTTGCCCAAGGCTCACATTACCCCTGTGCTCCCTCTGTACTTAAGAGATACAAGAAGCCCATTCCCAATATGAGAGCAGGCTCACATGCACTTGGTCAGTAAAGAGCCCGTGTCTGTCCTTTGTCCTCTGATGAACGCTTTCTGTCCTTTACGTGACCAGGTATGAAGATGAAATCAATAAGCGTACCACCGCTGAGAATGAGTTTGTGATGCTGAAGAAGGTATGGGTGGGTGGAGGGAAACTGTAGCCTGAGGCTGTGCTATCCTGAGGGTGGAGTCACTTAAATCATTGTTTGGTGCCAACCACCCCTATTTCTCCAGGATGTAGATGCCGCCTACATGAACAAGGTGGAGCTAGAGGCCAAGGTGGATGCCCTCATGGATGAGATCAACTTCATGAAGATGTTCTTTGATGCGGTAAGAAACTTACCTAAGGTTCTTGGGAGGACAGTTATTTCTTTCTTGAGTTGACATCCCACAATAAATGGAAGACTCAAATGGAACTGATGTGAAATAACATAAAATCAGATGCCTGACTTCGAGTCTTCCCACAGGAGCTGTCCCAGATGCAGACACATGTATCTGACACATCTGTGGTGCTGTCCATGGACAACAACCGCAGTCTGGACCTGGACAGCATCATCGCTGAGGTCAAAGCTCAGTATGAGGACATTGCCAACCGCAGCCGAACTGAAGCTGAGTCCTGGTATCAGACCAAGGTAGGTGATTTGGAAATGTCGCCTCAGTGAAGGGATGGACCGATGTCTAAGATTCCAGGCCATGCCAATGCTAAGTATGGGGCTCCTGAGGCTGGCTGAGACCAACTGGGATGGGTTATGGAATAAGCATGTATACATTTTCCATAGAAACCAAAAAACCTGAAGGAGAACTTCACATCAGTGCCTCTTGGAAAATAAAGACACTAATAAGGAAATTATCAAAGACCAGCTCCTCCTTTGAAAAGGTTGAATCAGTCCTAGGCCCCAAATAACTATACCATTTGCCATCTCTTGGTAGCTCTTGCCTGTGAACTTGGGGAAAGCTTTCTTCACCCTCATATAAACTGGGTCTTCTTTTCTGGTGTCATCAGTATGAAGAGCTGCAGCAGACAGCTGGCCGACATGGTGATGACCTCCGCAACACCAAGCATGAGATCTCTGAGATGAACCGCATGATACAGAGGCTAAGAGCTGAGATTGACAATGTCAAGAAGCAGGTAGGATGAGGTTGATCAAGGATGAGGAAGGGGCCTGAGTTTTGAATGGCAGATCTAGCTTGGTTTACTTTTGTGTGTTTTGGGGCCTGAGAGGAGAGGAGCGGAGGAGTGGGGAGGGAAGGGGAGAGGGATCTGGAAGAAGCACCAATGTTATGATTTTCCACACCGTTATGACCAGGACAGATACGTTGGGTTCCCTTTGGAGCTCCAGAGAGTCTGGCTTGCTTGCCTAAAATCTCAGAAAAGAAAAACCTGAGGCCCAGTTCAGCTACTACACTGTCGCCACTCTTCCTTCCTTTCCTTCTGTAGTGCGCCAACCTGCAGGCCGCCATCGCTGATGCCGAGCAGCGTGGAGAGCTGGCCCTCAAGGATGCCAGGAACAAACTGGCAGAGCTGGAGGAGGCCCTGCAGAAGGCCAAGCAGGACATGGCCCGGCTGCTGCGTGAGTACCAGGAGCTCATGAACACCAAGCTGGCCCTGGACGTGGAGATCGCCACCTACCGCAAGCTGCTGGAGGGCGAGGAGTGCAGGTGAGCTGACTTGTGGGCCTAGGGTGGCTTCTCATTTGATAATAGAAAGCTGCTCCACTCCAGGATGTAACACTGCTGTCTTGTTCATGATAATTAGCTACCCTGCATTGATTTCTACTAACACATGGGAATACTGCAGGCCTCAGTTCACTTTTCTGGCTTATTCCTCACCATCAGCATTTTCAGGGGCTGCCTTTTCTCCAAACAACTAAGCAACTGAACAAGTGAGCCCTGAACTTTGTTTCCTTTCTTCTTTCTCTCATGTTCTTTTACCCGACCTCACTATCCACACCCATATTTACCCTGGTCCTCCTGATTCTTCAAGTGCCTTTTCTTTCAGGATGGCTTTGGCAATCCTTCCAGCGGATTCACCTGATGTTGGCTTCTCAAACTACTCTATTTTCTTCAATCTTCTGATGCAGCCATTTGCCTACTTTCTCTCTGAGGAATTTCTATGGGGCCAAATTCTGTCACGGAATGTCAGCTCCTAGAGACAAACATTGCTTCGTACATATTCATATTTCCCACAACCTCTTATGCTTCCTACAAAATGGGTGGAAGAGAATATGAATTACATTCTTCCTTTGAATACCTACCCCTAAATCAGGACCTCTTCATTGGAAAGTCCCTTCAGAGTACTCCCTCTTCTAACTGGAGTTGTTTCCTGGACATGCAAACCCCTGGCATTGGGATGAGAGCTAATCTGATCTCTTCTAAAGAGAATCAACCACATAGACTAATGCCATTTTTTAGGAAGTTTATAAAATTTCTCATTAAAAAAATTTTTTCCCTTTCAGACTGAGTGGAGAAGGAGTTGGACCAGTCAACATCTGTAAGTAATTCTGGACTGACATTCAGAATGATAATACGGGATATTTGATAGCAACTCAGAATCCTCCTACTTTTAGACTCCAGACTTGATGCAGCCCAATATATTATTATTTCATGCATTTAGTGAGACTCTGGTGGTGGAGGGAACAGAACACAGATTGGGATGTGAAGAAATGTAACTCATGCTTATCTCTTAAAGGGTAGGCTATGTATCACATACACGTTGGACCCTGTACCACATGCATGTCCAGCACCATCCCTTTCCTCTTATGTCCCCTAGCTTTCTGTCAGGGACCTTCAGTAAATGACTTTGTTCTTTTGGGCCCCTTCTGTAGCTCTGAAAAAGGGACTAGGTGTAGTGCACCCCAGCAGGATCAAATAAGTTGGCCATGTAAGATCAGTCTGCCAACTACTCATAACCACTTCTTCTTTCCCTGCAGCGGTCGTCACCAATAGCATGTCAACTGGCTATGGCGGTGGCAGTGGCTTTGGCGGTGGCCTCAGCGGAGGCTTTGGAGGTGGTCTTGGTGGAGGTAGCAGCAGTAGCTACTACTCCAGCAGCAGTGGGGGTGTTGGCCTCAGTGGTGGGCTTAGTGCAGGTGGCTCTGGCTTCAGTGCAAGCAGTGGCAGAGGAATGGGGGCGAGCTTTGGCAGTGGCGGGGGCAGTGGCTCCAGTGTCAAATTTGTCTCTACCACCTCTTCCTCCCGGAGGACCTTCAAGAGCTAAGAAGAACCCGCTGCAAATCACTTGTCCCCTGAGGGCAGCCACCCGGCACCCATGGAGTTGCCTCTTCTAGCCAGTCTCCCAAGCTGAGTTTTCTCTTTTTCTGGAGAGTAGTCTAGAAAAAGCCTATTGCAGAACCACATTCTTTGGTTCCTAGGAGGACCTAGTTTCTTACTTATCACCCACATCACAATTCTATCTTCTACTTCAGATCACGCTTTTCTCTCCACAGTGTGGCCTGTCATGATACAGGAACCCAAAGTTTTCCAATCTCTAAACCATCAAAACAGAATCTGCACCCCAGTGCCCACCTTAATCTCATCCTGGTTCTGACTACCTCCAGAGTGTGTTCAATAAAATGCTTTTATAATATAAGACTTGGTGCTGAATTGTTTTTTTTCCCTAGATCTGCCATCAGTCTAGAGACCTCCTGAGGGTCAATCTGATTGGTTCCTTTGATGACTCACAGGGAGTGTGGGAAAAATTTGAAGGCCAAGTGACCTTCAGGGGTGGTCCAGGTTGGTGAAGCCTCTGCTATGAGGGAATCTCTGCAATGCACAAAAAAGAGTGTTTATTGCTTCACATCGTGGGCAGATTTTACAGCCTTTTGTTGAATGGGACCCATTTATCATGGACCGGTTTGTATGCAACAGCATAAATAGGCTAAAATAATATTGGTTAATGAAGAATCCAAAAAGGCCTAAAAGATATTGGGGTTCTATAGCAGACATTGAGAGGGTCAACAGCTATTTTTTTAGACTGTTAGCAATGCAGCAATCCTCAGTTTACCAGGTAATTTCAGGAGGTTAAGGAGGTGGCAGGTCTGTACGCTATGCGGGTAACAATGGCATGCCTTGTTTTTGTGAATATTTACATGTCCTAAATGCATACATATACATTCTCTTTGGGAGAAGGCTTATCCATGTAAATCATGTTTGCGCTCCTGGAGAGTCAGGTACAGACAAGACCAAAGAATGCACATGGCTGGGCTGTTAAGGAAAGACAAGTTGTGCCCCTGCTGAAGTGGAAGCTGTTGAAATGGGCACTGGATAGATTATTAGCAAATCTATAAGAGGAAAGTATTTCCCAGGTATAAATTGGGCAAGTCAGAGATTTCAGGACTATTGGGTATGAAGTCTGAGAAGTAGTCATGGCCATGGCACTGAAGTTGTGGTGATCCAGCAGGAGGCACCATTCATGCTTTCTGAGTTTCAAAATAGGCCACAATGGGTTGCTGAATAGAGAAACAGTGGGGGCATAATCACCCCTAGAAGTGGATCCTGAATAATGGGTTCATCCCTTGAAAGTCCTGTTCTAATTTATATTGGAGTATAGTAACTACTTTAATTGAGGAAGGTGTGTGGAGACCAATTTATTAAGCCAATTTGTAGGTGCCAAGGATTTAATTAAATTTTAATTGAATTTACTACTCGTTGGCTGAGACTGTCCATGCTCACTATGGAGTATTTCGGGGAGGAGATGTTCATGGGGTGTTTAGGCAAGTCAATAGTTAATGAAGGTCAGGTGGACTCATTGGTTCTCTATTTTGTATTCAGTAATATCTTTGAGATAACAGGAGTATCTTATTTAAATTTACTGGGATTCCCAAATGTAAGTGTAACTTGAGTTCCAGTATGTACTAAGACCACGAAGGTGTATGGACTAGTGTATTTCAGTGGATGTTAATGTAAATCCAGAACTATGTGGTGAAGGCCCCAAATCAATCCGTATACCTCTATCTTTTTGGTGTATATATTCTTTTAGAATACTTTGGATTTCCAGTTGCATCAAATTGTGGATATAGACTTCTTGTTTCCATTTTTTGTTTCCTCCCTGTTTTAGATTTTGCTCTCTGTCTCTCTTCCCTGTCTCCATCTCTGTCTCTTTTTCACCTTTCTTCCTGATTTCTGGCTAAACTTTGGTAATAGAGTATTTCTTCTACGCATATTTATAAATGTCATCTTTTAGAAAGTCTTCATCAAGGTGAAGGGCCTTATTGTGAGAAAACCTGAATTAATTCCTTGGTTGGAGCTATGTATGTTTCCCCTTCAAGATTAATTAAACTTGAGCAGAACAGGAATTGGCAACAAAGACAAAGGAAGCAGTACTACAAAGCATTCCTAGAGTTCTAGTAAGTCACCTGAGATGGAATATAGTCACATGTTAAAAGTAACTGCTCTTTTTCCATGTGAGACACCACCTGATGGTATCATATATTGCAAACGATGTCAATCTCTTCCCTGAACACTACATAAAATGAGGGTGAGCAAGTGCTTGAGAGACACGTCCAATAGTGACAGAGGAATAGTCATTCCCCTGAGTTTAACATCAGTCTTGGTTTATCCTAGAATTGAGAAACACAGTTCAATATGAGATGCACTGATAGGTCAGGGCTGAGACACAGGACACAGGGCCACCTTTCAAAGAGCTGCGATCCCATACTTTTGTCCCTAAAAACTAAGGTCAGTAAGTAAAACTTAGGTCAGTAAATTTACAACAAAGGTTCAGTAGAACTGTGCAAATGCAACCAAAAGCAACATGACTCGAAGTAAAAGCTGACCAGCAGGCAGTCACACAGCTCACAGAGAGACCAGAACGCAGCACACAGGCAGCTCAAAGAATATGCTTGCAAGCAGACTGCAGAGCCAGATTGTATGTCAAGCAACAAATGAAAGATCTCAGTGGTGGTGAAATTCGGGAATGACAATCTGGGAGGGAGGTCACTAATCCACGAAACCTCCCCCATCTTTCAGCAGCAAGACCCTTGGCCCTCTGCAGCCAACATGGGAACTTATTCAAAGGTGTACAAATGAAAAGCAACAACTCTTCCTCACTCATCTCAGATTTGAGGTCACAGGGTAAACAGTTGCATCCCAAAGTGGAAAGACAGGCAATTATAGAGAATCCCCATATGAGAGCAATAATCCACAAGCAGAAATCTCCATGAGGACTTGGTAGGAAAACCTAAACTGTATCCAACCAATTGCTGGTGGCTAAGTGTGGATAAGATTGATAGTTAAAACTTCAAGGACCCCAGTCTTAGAGGAGCATTTTTGTGAATATTCCCTCTAGGATCTGTTCTCAGATGATAGGAGAAAAATCCCCTCATGTTTCCAGCAGGGGGAGTGAAAAGCGAACCATTTCTAAATAGAACTTGTATTACAGGGACAAGGGGAAAAAATGAGAACAAAGACCTGTCATGTAAAGTTACAAGATCCCAATAATGAAGGTAACTGTACTGTATACCTAAAATGTACCAATAAATAATGTACCAATAAATAATGAGGAAAATAATGAGGAAAAATTTTCCTCATTATTTATTGGTACATTTTAGGTATACAGTACAGTTACCTTCATTATTGGGATCCTATACATGACAGGTCTTGGTTCCCATTGTTTTCCCCTTGTGTTCTTAATAGATTGCCCCTTGGGGAGAGCTATTTAACTACAGCCTAACCAACTGAGGTCTGATTGCAGCCTAATCGAGCTGCAGTAAGGGAAATGAGAAAGAATGCAAAATAAAGCATGAGATAACAGTAACAGAAAAAAAGAATGTCTTCAGTGGGCTCATTAGTAGGCACAGCTGAAGAAAGAACCTGAATTTGAAGATATAACAGACACAACCTGAAAAGCAACAAGAAGACTGAAGAAGAAGAAAAAAAGGATAGACTATGCAAGATCTGTGGTTGCCTGAACATGGAGTAACAAAAGGTGTAATGTATGTGTGTAATGGGAATATTAAAGGAAAAAGAAATAGATAAAGGAACACAAGAAATACAGGAGACAGGAGAATTCCCTAAAATCAACGTCAGATATCTAATCACAAATCAGAGAAGCTCAGAGAACACTAAACAGGGCAAGTTAAAACACACACACACACACACACACACACACACACACAATATCTAGGCATATTCTCAAACTGCAAAAAAGAAAACAAAGAGAGAAAGCTGTTGAAAAAGTAGGTTATGTATGGAAGAGTAAAGATAAGAATTACATCCAGTTTCTTCACAGAAATCAAGAAAACAAGAGTGGAGTGAAATATTTAGGGTTGAGTGAAAAACACCAACCTAGAATTCTATATCTTTCCAACTTAACTTTCAAAAGAAAAAGAGAAATAAAGATTCTCAGATAAACAAAAATTGAAGGAATTTCTTATTTGCAGTCCTGCCCTGCAAGAAATGCTAAAAAGAGTTCTTCACAGAAAAGGAAAATTATATAGAGCAGAAACCTGAATTTACATAAAGAAAGAATTAGAGAAGGAACAAATAAAGGCAAAGTAAAAGCTTTCATTTTTTCCTCTGAATTGAGCTAACAAAATTATAATGGTAACAATGTTATCAATGTTTATAACTTACTGTATAAACGAAATGAATGACAATAATGATGAAAAGAATGGAAGGGAGGAATTAGGTTTACTTGGTATTGGGGCCGGGGATTTAGCTCAGTGGTTCTGCCACCTGCCTCACAAGAGCAAGGTCCTGAGTTTGATCCCCAATGCAAAATAACAATAACAATAACAATAATAATAATAATTCTAAAAAAGTATTTCTTGGTTATCACAAGGAACTTGCAGTGTCCATGAAGGGTATAGAATCATTTAAAATAGACTTAGATTAGTTGTAAATATATGTTGCAAACTCTAGGACAATCACTAAAAGAAGAAAAAGGAAGAGGAGGAAAAGAAAGAGGAGAAGAGGGAGGATTGATACCCTAAGAAAGGAGAGAAAATGGAATCATAAACCTTGAAAGGCAGAACAAGAGTGGAAGACAAAAACAGGAACAAAAACAAGGGCAATAATCAGAAACACTAACAAATATGATATAAATCCAAGTATATCAATAGTCACTTTAAATGTATATGGTCCATGAACCAATTAAAAGACAGAGATAGTCATAAGTAGATTAAAAACAAATTTTAACAACATGTTGTCTACAAGGAACTCACTTAAATTATAAAGATATGCATGATCTTACAAGTAAAAGGACAGAAAGATAGAGCATGTTAACATTACTCAAAAGAAATGTATCAGAGGTTCGGTGGCCTGCCTTGCAAGCGCAGACCTGAGTTTCATGAACCAATTAAAAGACAGAGATAGTCATAAGTAGATTAAAAACAAATTTTAACAACATGTTGTCTACAAGGAACTCACTTAAATTATAAAGATATGCATGATCTTACAAGTAAAAGGACAGAAAGATAGAGCATGTTAACATTACTCAAAAGAAATGTATCAGAGGTTCGGTGGCCTGCCTTGCAAGCGCAAGGACCTGAGTTCAATCCCCAGTACCAAATAAATAAATAAATAAATAAATAAATAAATAAATAAAAAT